CATTTGGTTAAATTGGTGTTGAATCAGTACCTTTTCTCTTGCAGTGTAGTTTGGATTTGGCTGTGACTGAATCGTAATTCAGTTCTGGTGTAGCTAATAACAGTTTTAACCCTTTTCCTGACCCTGAACCAGTTAGTTTAGGAAAAAAACGCATTTAAAAGTGAGAAGCATCACATTACGGGGGCATGCACATGATGAGGAACTTTACACCTGATTTTCTTTTTTCGTACTTAGAGCCGAGGTACAACGCACAGTGTCACAGGCAACTTCTTTGTAACGACCACAATCTGAGGCTGAAAAGCTGAAAGGAAACTGATGTGCTCCATTGATGGCAGTTTTGTGCCTGAGAGTAAGAAATGGAAGCTAAAGGGCAGAAAACTACTGTCCTGTTACGCTGCTGGTTTCAGCGTGTGCCTGCATATGTACAGTATGGAAATAAAAGCCTGCATCTCTTCAGTGAGTTATAGTGAGAGCTTTATTTGCTGGGGAGAAACTCAAAGGCTCAGAGATCCTTGCAAGTACTTTGAGGATGTTGTTTGCTGTAGAGAGAGACAATTCTGCAGATCTCCCTGCGTTTGGAAAAGGAGGACTAAGGCATGGTCAGCACTTCACAGTAAGAGTAGTTTACTTATGACTGCCTTTAGGAATGCATGAAAAGTCTCTGTTGAGAACTGCAAATTATAATAAAGAAACAAAGACTTATATTCTACATGCTGTTCTGTGCCATGTGGTGATGGAAAAACGAGAAAAGATACGGTATGATGCTTTTTTGTTGACCACTCTGAATGCAAACAGTTCCCATGCTGAATAAGCTCCATTCTGCTTTAATGAAAAAAAAAAATAGAATTCAGAGGTTGTTTTGGTTTTAGGTTTGATCGCTTTGGTTAAGTTGTGGGTTTTGGTTTAGCTGACACTGATGCTGCAGTATTTCTTCCAGGATAGCTGTATTGGCTCAGCTCTGTTGGGGTATATGAAGCATATGCCAGCCAAAAGAGTTCTTCTGCCACCTTCTGTGCATAATGAGCTGAAGTGAAAAAAATCCGTAGTCTTCTGTCAGTGTAGTTGTACCTGTATTAGGATTTTTATTGTCATAATTGTGTAAGGAGGAGAGGAGGCAGGCATTATATTTTTCACACGTTTAAGTGACGTACCTTACCTGGCAATTCTTTGTACTGTCAGACCAATCTAAATTTTGGCTTTAGGCCCACTCCATTTAGTGGAGTGGGAGGCGAATGCGCTTGAACTGGAACAGGTCAAGTAACAATAATGGTCTCAGACACATTGTATTGGTTTAATTCAGCCTAGGCATGTCAGAATATGACTGGTCTTAAATGCTGCCTACAAGTACAAAAGAGGAGGGATGGAAAGGAAAAAACATCACATTTCTTAGTGTCCATGAAAACTCAAAACATGAAATTTTTTTGTTTGTTTAAATAAGCTTAACTAAATTTTAACAAAATTTTATAACTTATGTGAACAGAAAGATTTCTCTGAAAGCCAAAACTACGTTTCTGCTAGGCAGCACTGCTGAAATAGCTGTGCCTACCTAAGTCTAGTGGCAGACATTTTCCTAGGATTGTTGAAATTGCATCTGTTGTTAGCCTGGTGCAGCTATCCTAGATTAATAAAACTCAGGATGGGCAAATGCGCCTACGTTCTCTTCTCTCCCAGTTATATCTTCTTCCATCTATCTTCTCATATGTTTTTCATATTTATTTATAGTTTTCTTGATTCTTAATCATTAGCTTGACATGTTACCAAGTTTTTTGTCGATCAGAAGTCACCATATAACACCAATTTTTTTGTAGAGTTATGTAGAAAGAAGTCAAACCCACTGCTTTTTTCTGTGCAGTTATATGTTTGGGGAAAAAATTTAAAAGCTCCAGGAACTGAAATAAATGGAATGTTCACAGTTGATTAGGTAACAATTACATCTTTCATGTGTCTGGACCCATCTGAAAGATGTGTGATGCTAATTATAGCAGGTAAGATTGGTATTTTCACAAATTAACGTAGTCCAGTAGAACTTTTCTTGCACAGGAGACGTTCTTCCACTATGCCTTTTCCATCTTTCTTTATATTTTCTTCCATACATGTAAATAGCATATGTTCTTGAAATGCAATTTCATATAGAAATATCTTTTTGGATCACTTCTTGAGCTTGCATCAAGATGAAGTTTTAGTAGCATCATGGGGTTATTTGAGCGTATTTTTTCAAAAAGTTTTGCTATGTTAATAGTTGTATGGCTTCTGGACGTTGTTTCACTGTTTGCACTAAATAATATGTTATTTTCAATTATATGCAAGCATTCCAAGGTTAACATCAAGATTACATCGCGTGTATCACTCCTATTTTTATATCAGTATCGTTTGCCCTTTTTCACAACAGAAAAAAAGTCATTTGTTCATAGTCAGTTCATGCTCAACTATTGTTCTAAATACTTTTTCTGTTTAGAGAAAAGTGCATAGGTTGCTAATCTTACCTCCATTTGTGCAAATCATTATTGCAGTCAATTTTTATTTATTCTCATTGACTGTTTTCCCTCCACATTTGCACAAAATACAGAGATCATGTAGAAATATAATCCAGTTCTTTATTGTGCCATAGACCCTCTAAGATTAGTGCCATGTGACAAATTACACTGCTTTTGAATGCGATTCAGTGTAGCTTTTCAATTTGACAGGTCATTATTCTGAATACGTTTTTAAGTTAAACTGTGTTTTACTAGCTCACTTGTAAGACTGTCTAATGATAAAGTGTCAGTGGTCATATTGTGTGCGAAACTCCTTAAATGTGTTAAAATCATTCCCCGAGGGGAATGTTGTAGCTCAACAAAATTGTCTCATTCAATAAATAGTTAAAAGTCAGATTGGGCGGCATTTGGGGGAGAAGGGTGTTTGTCCACTGTCTCTGTGAAATTATCTAGTGCTGTGGTTTTCAGTATTTTTCTATTTGGGGAACTTTCAGTATTTTTGGTGGACATTTTTAAAGTTAATTTAAATCTATTTACAACAGACATCCTCTGATAAGTTAATCCAATTATTGGTTGTTGTTCTGGTGCCTCTGGTGTTCATTGGAGACTTCAGGTGAAGTGTTTTAGTGAGGTTTTGGTGACTTCACAGCCTGAGACAGCTCAGCCCATCACCCAATGAGGCTTGGAAGGCAAGAATACAGATCCAGGAGGGAATGGATGCAGGATCATGGCAACCAGGAGTTTGATTGCCTCTGGTTTCTGTCAAATGGCTGCCAAAAACTGTTATTTCGGGGAAAAAACCCCAAACTTCAAGGTGGCATTAGTACCAAAAGCAGCATTTCTTCTTCTTGCTACATGTTCCCATCCGGTATAACAGCTTTGCTGAGTGCATTACAAGCACTTGTGTGGCTGTGCAGTGAATAGGGTCATAGAAGAAAATTACTCAGGAAAAAGTTATTTTTTTAGACAGGTTTTATTTCTCAAGTGTTTAGTGTGCAGCTACAAAACATTTGCACTGGTACATATGAGTAGGGGATTGAAAATATGGAAATGACTTTGGTGTGTGTTCAGTTGTTTCTCTGCAATATTGAAGACTTCTGATCCCTATGGTTTTATGTATCATTTCGTTTTGATGCATACATTAAAAGCTTAAGGAAAAATTAAACATATTAAACCAACTCTATTGAACTTTCACTTCCATTTTATAAAGATCATTTCACTGTTCTATGATTGTCTATTACAACTGATTGCATGCTTGTTTCTTTTGAAAAAAAGTCAGTAAGTTCTTTGTAATTGAACTGAGCATTCCATATTCATTAGGAATCATTTAAATTCTGTTCTGAGAAAATTAAGTTGCAAATGTTCTTATTTTTACCTAGGATATCTCTGATAAGCTTGTCAGTGATTTTTTTTTTACAATATATTAACTCTTTTAAGGCTGTAAATAATTCCTTCTGAATATTCTAATGAACATGAAACAGTGACGAAGTAAAAAAAAAAAGGTGAATTAGAAATCTTTGAAGAATTCAAATAATTTAGCATGGTTGGAGGAGTGAAACAGACATGAAGGTCATCATAATAGACATTCATTTGATAGAGCTATATCTCATTTTCCTTCTAATTTTTAAAATATTTTTGCACATAGGTCATAAAATGCAGTTCAGAGCTATCGGGGCTACGTACGTTGCTTGTGTGATGAGTTTACACTAAGATGACAATCCATGAGCAACTGAGACCCAGGCACATGCTCCCTTCTGCCAGTTTTGTTACTTGGGATAGTAACTTAAGGCATAGATGGAAGCTGTGACTTAATAAACTACTCTTTTAATTTGCGTGGTTGAATGTGAGAGCTCTGACTGTGAGAGGCATTGAAAAGTTATGTCACTTTCTGTTTATTGCTCTATCTTGCTGTCAAAAGTTACTAGTTGACTGGGAGTCTTAATTTTATCTTCTTACAATCCAATTTAGCAGGTACTACAGATGACTAAGTATTTGAGGTAGCACATTTATTTTCAGACTATAGGAAAATTTCATTTTTTCTGTTGACATATTTGAATAAGTTTAAATATGAGAAATAAATGATGAGGACTGACTTTCCTCTTACTGTGTTTTAACTTCTGTTGCTGATGTTCCTAAATTACTTGAGCAAAGCTGTCAGGAACTGTTACTGTTGTTTATCTGCTTTTGAAGTGTATGACATAAATTAGCATAGCACTCTGCTAAACTACAGAAATAGTTGTTGTTATACTTTAAAAGATACTAAAATTTGAGATGTGATGAATGACCAGAATGCTGTGGGAAAAGAAAAAAATACTTGATGTTAATCTAAATTACTATATCGAGATTTCACTAAACAGTGGCATCACCTGGCAAGTCTGTGCTTCCAGTTTTGTCAGTGACTGGGTGAAAGACAGTTGAGAATTTTTATTCTGTTCAGTGAAGGAGTGTGAATGACAAACTGTAACCTTGTTTGAATGTTTTGCGTTGATATGCACTCTTCAACCATATTGTTTGTATCTGTCATAGATCCTGGCTCTGCCGAACGCACAGCACAAAAAAGGAAATTTCCCAGCCCTCCACATTCCTCTAATGGCCATTCACCACAAGATGCATCAACAAGTCCTATAAAAAAGAAAAAGAAACCTGGTCTATTGAACAGTAATAATAAAGAGCAGGTAAGAGAAGTCATGGTCTTGTTATCCTAGAATACAAAACAGTGAAGGATGTAGAAGCAGATGATTAGGAGCTCTCCTCTTTAGGAAGCTCCATTTTTGTACTTTAAGAGTGGATATTCGTTTTTGAATGCAGTGAGTGTACGAGTTGGCCTTTTAAGGTGGATTTGGGTGTTCTTTTATTTTTGTTTTACATCTGTATGAGAAAGACTACCTGTGTCCTGGGTTTTGATTTCTTAAACCTAGTAAGATGTATAACTAATAAGTGCAATTTTGAACAAAAGGATTATGAAGCAATATAATAACAAGAAAGCCAACTGTTACAGTTTTTATTAATTAAAACCATTAAAAGGAAATGTTCAGTGGCGTGATATCCTAGATTAAGAAAGATCTCAGAAAGTCAGTGTAAGTCCCTCATCTGCTTTCAGTCCTACTGCCAATTGTTAACAAAAGCCCAGCTCCTTCCTTGGTACTCTGCAGATTCCCTCCCCATCCTTTAAATTGCTGAGCAGTGTACACTCCTACCAAACTGGTTAAATCAAAGGGTCACACTGACAGTACTTTTCAGTCATCATGCTTGAAATCTTATTTTCAGTGTCTTATGAATACTGAATTTACAGTATTTGTTGTAATTCTTAGAAGAACTTGACTCCAGAAGACTTTGACAATTTCTGATTCATTGTCTAATACAAGTGAAAGAATTATATAAAGTGTACTGAATAGCAAATGTTCTAAAGACCTGCATTGTCTTGAAGGAGATTACAAAAAAGCAGCCTTCAGCCTTACTGGAATTCTTTCTCATCTAATTTGATAATGACATGCCTGTGTATTTTTCGTAGTGCTTTTGTGTGTCGATTTTGCCAGGATCATATAAACATAGGATTAAGTTCTGAGCATTTGTATCACTTTTTCCTGGTGTAACAGCAGCCACATTAAGTATTGTCCCAGTACAATTGCACTGGTTAAGAAAAAAAAAGAAATTCCTAATCACTGCAGTTGTCCTGGAGTGAAGACTGTGAATAAATCAGGCCTTGCTAGAGAACAGTCTTACAGTGTCAAGCATATTTTATTGAAGGATAAATGGGAGGTCTAGTAATAGCATGTTTAGGCATACTTGCACAATTTTATTGTGTCCAGTTTGGCTTTTACTGAGCTTCACTGTAGGCTATATAAATTCCTGTATGTCCTGGACATTTACTGGGGAGATGTTGCCTTAGTGAAGTCTGAGCTTCTGGCTGTGCAGTGTAGATATAATTTTACAAACAGTGGAATTGAATCTTAGGGTATTAATTTCCACTCTCTATTCATGCATTTAAAAATACATGTGAAAACACAGTTGCAGTTGTTGAACTTGATACATTCCCCTTGGTAAATCCTTTTCTGTTTTACAGGCATTTCAGACCTGAAATATTGCAGGATAGAATAAACTTACATATCTAATGAGGAAAAGCAATCAGACTTGCTCATTTTGCTGTGTTTGTTACAAGTTAGCAAGAAAATATGATCTGTTTAGTTTTGTTTAGCTTTTTCAAGTTGTTTTTAATTCAGTATTGTCTTGCGTGTCAAATTTGAAATGGACATGCCTGAAGATTATTTTTCCTGAAGTAGATGCAAAACTCTGCTCTATATGGTAGCATGGGTTGTTAAAGATTCTTTTACTGTATTTTAGCTGAGCATACAGTTACTTGTTTTGCTCTCAGGTTAAGTTTTAAGTACAATGTAGCTGATAGCTGTGGTTTTGATTGGCTGATAAGTCCATTTTGAGATATGACAACATCACTGGAAACTTCTACCTTAATATTCTACATTATGAAGTGTTTTGAAATATTTGAGTATTTCAAGATACCCTTACAAAAGTTATAGTTGCATAAAGCTTCATATCACATGTTGTGTATGCAGTAGCAGATCTTCAGAATGGTGTCAACAGGTATTTAAAGTGTTGAAATACAAGCAAAGAATTATGGAATTGTAGAATGTAGCTGTCAGGTTAAAAATCAAGAACTTCTGACAATAGGTCAGGTATAATGTCGTTGAAGTTGTCAGTTTGTTTTACTACTAGCTTCAATATTAATTTAAACTGAATATAAATAGTGATCTTTTTCTCCCCAGAACAGCCCTACAATACTATTGTTTTTTCTTCACTTTTCTGTGTTGTTCTACAGGTCTTAATAACTTTGGTAAAGACTTTAAAACAAGCTACCGCCTATTTGCGCTGGAATTGTCTAGTTGTGAATCAGTTGAGAAAACAAAGCTTGTCTTTCATAACTGTTAAAATTTAAACTCTTAAAACTTTTACTCTGATTAGAACAAGTGAAAAGGTCCTTTGTTTTGTTGTTTGGATGTTTTTTGAGTCTCGGAACTTTTTTTTTTTAAACTTGGCTTAGACAAAAAACGGTGATAGATGTTACAGAAAAGTAATTGCTCTCATGCTCTAGCAAAAATGGACTTCTGTTCAGTTTGGATGTTATGACTTCATTTCTGTGGCATGGTTTCACAGGTTTTATATTTGTCTTAAAGCAGTATCTTTGGTTCTTAGGAAGTTAGTGTGGATATACTGCTTATACCCACTTCAAAGTCAGAATATGTATTGAATTCCTCTGGTAATTTCCTTTATCTGCAGTTGAGGAAATGCCTCATAGCTTCATCTCCACTTATACTCTATTGAGATTTTGGTGTCACAGCTGTGGTGCATATAGCTGCAAACAAAACGTTTCTCTGCGCTGTAAATTGCAACTTTCCCATCTTCACGCTGGGTTTCCATACGCTTTTATATGTTTGAAAGGCTGTAGTAGTAATACATTTGAAATGTATAGTTAAAGCCTTATGCTGTCCTTCTTATTCCACAGGATCTCACAGAACCATCCTTTTGAAAGTCTTGTCATGTTATAGGATTAAAAATATGTACAGAGAAAGTACAGAAAATAACACTTTGCCCATTTCCATGGTGGGAACAAAGTATCTTTTTAGTAGTTGTATCATCTGTAGAATAGAAAATGAAAACCACCAAATCGAAATTCGAGTGATATTTTAGGGAGCAGAATGCTTTGGGAATGTTTGTGGGTAACATCCTTTCTTTGCCTAAAATATTATACAGTGTAAGATAACTGCAGATGGTATCTATTCTGGTGTATCTTTTGAGATATAACAGCTAAATTGACCTTGAAGGTCCTGTATTCACACAAATAATTAGACCTTGTCCTTTGTAACTTTAGAAATCTGGAAATGCCACGGTCCAAGCTGGCATGCTGGTGGTTTCTGGTGACATTAATTTATGCCCTGTGTGACTAATTTTGTACAGGATGCTGCAAAGGTATGGAACATGCATATGGTTGCACTGTTCTGTGAGTCACACGGGCATGTGACAGCGCAAGGGTCTAAGAACTTGCACATGTGTAAATGGTGTAGGATACATGCAAAATTACCTGAGAACCAAACAGAATGGTTCTGCAAACTACAGGCATTTGGATAGTTACAAGTAATGTCATGAGCCAAATGGGTTTACTTCAAACAAAATCTCACAGTAAATAAACTGCCTACAGCTCATGATTGTTTCCCTCCATGCCCTCCTCAGCAGACCACCCCTATAATTAATACCAAACAGAAAACTTAAGTTCCCTTGTAATTAATAAATAGATTGTAGTTTTCCAATAAATGTTATCAGCTCTTCAAAGCTTATCTAACTGGGGATCCACTTTAGCCATCCCAAGCTCTTCGTTTCTTGTGTTTTGGCATCAGTTATGTCATCTTTGAGCTGTCTGGGGCTCAAGTGGAAGACTGGTTCATGCAGTTTACAAACTTAACACTGTTTTCTAGTGCAGGCAAACCAGTGGAGATTGTGAGACTTAAATTCTGATTTGCATTTAAATGGTGGATTAGATCTCTCCCAGTGTTCCTTGCTTCTGTAGCAGAGGTGACTGTTCAGGATATGAATGTGTTCCTTTGTTACCCTACTCTACAGTTTGCCTTATTAATCAAAATCAGTGCTGGCTTGCTTCACTGTACAAAGTTGTGAACTGCTGCAGCTGAGGAAAGATTTGCATGGTGTTCAGCTGCTTCTTTCAGGACTAACTTCTTCAGTTGTCCCGGGTTTAGCCACCACTAAACATCTCAGTATTTATCTTGCACAGCCCCATGGGATTCTGAGTTTAGAAGACCTAATAGCTTCTATAGCAATACTTCTTTCTTGAAGATAAAAGCATTTACTGACTTTTGTTGGATTGCATGTCTTGCACTCGATGCCCTCACTTGCCACAAAAATTTATTTTCAGTCTTGGGTGTAGACTGGCATTTGACATCTGAATAAGAAGTAAACCTCTTTATGAAAGATTTTGTGCAATGAATAAGATACTGTCCTTGCATAAATGTTAATCAAACTCTGTAAACTGCTGTTTGCTTATATGTTATGAATATTATTATTTGAAACAATGCAAATTTGTTTTGAAACCAAACCTGTTTTTCTTGCCTACATTTCAGTCAGAACTAAGACATGGTCCGTTTTACTATATGAAGCAGCCACTCACCACAGACCCTGTTGATGTTGTACCACAGGATGGACGGAATGATTTCTATTGCTGGGTTTGTCATCGGGAAGGCCAAGTCCTCTGCTGTGAACTCTGTCCTCGGGTTTATCATGCTAAGTGTCTGAAACTGACAGCGGAACCAGAGGGGGATTGGTTTTGCCCAGAATGTGAGGTTAGTTTGATATGAATGGATTTCTTTCTTGTCTGTGAGACATGAACAGCTTTTTTGCATTCTGAAATGTTTCTGGTTTATTCCTATATATGCCTCTTGGTAAAGGCATCCATAGCTGCTTCACCAGTTTTTCTGTGTGTATACCTGGATTGTGTTTGCCTTCTTACTGCAAATCTTCAGCTTCCTTTGTGTTTCTGTCTCTAGAGAAGGCAGCATTTCAAAGAGTGATCTCTTCATCAGGCACCTCTAATTCTGAAAACATTCTGCAGTTCTGACTAGTTTAACTTGTGCTTCTTCTAGTGGACTGATCAGCTCTGCAGCAGAAAAAAAATACACTGTAGGGTCTACATAAACAAGTGGGTATTTTATTACTATTTTTTTCTGCAGCGCTGAGGAAGAATTTAATCATTCCTCTCCAGTGATTCCTGGGGAGAGAATCAAAGCATCAAAGTGTCTTTAATGAAAGCAAATTGTTTTACCCCACATTTTTCTTTGACCACTTATGAGACCCAAGGTGACCTTCTCACTTGTTCATGTTGCTGTGAACCTGCATTGTATTGGGGAATTTTATGTATTCTTGCAATCACTTTATGTGATCTTGAAGATGATGGATGATTTTCTGGTCTTTCCCCCTTTTTTTTTTTTTTTTTTTTTTTTTTTTTTTTTTTGATTAACATATCCAGAACAAAAACCAAGTAACATAAACATCCGAAGTACTCATACTGCATCATCAGAAATGTTTTGTTTCTTATAAGGTAGTTATGATCTTCCATTTGAATGCTAGAACGTTTCAGCGGAGAATAATTTGTCTAGAAATGTTTGCTAACAGAATATTTTTTTTAATCTTAACTTCTAGAAAATCACAGTCGCAGAATGCATAGAAACACAGAGTAAAGCTATGACAATGCTCACCATTGAACAGCTATCATATTTACTGAAGTTTGCACTACAGAAAATGAAACAGCCAGGGGTAAGGAAGATTTTTTTGTTTTTTAATCCTTGGATCATATGTTTGTCATAATCCTGAGTTTTGCTTCCTTTTGCGGATTATGAACCTATCTCGTTTTATCAGATTGTATGTGACAGCTTCTGTGCTGTCTGCCACCTGTCTAGTACAGATTAGTTTAGACTGTACATACTGTTTTAGAGTGTATTTAAAATGTAGTTTCTTGATGTAACTTCTGGACATAGTTTCAGTAGGTGTAGTAAAAATATAGTGTGGCTTTCCAGTGGGACGTGTTGGTTTCTCACTCACCAAAAATAGACAATGCTGTGTTTGATATGCAAGGGGAATGACGAGAGCATGATCTTTTACCAATATAGTTATATGGGCTGGAACCTTAGGCACAGGCACTGTTATATTACTGATCATACCTGATGAAAACCTAGCTCCTATTTGCTAGTAAAAATTGTGCTTACCATATAAGTTAATTGTATACTTCTAAAACACTGAAGATATTTTCCTCAGTGTGGTGAAAACCCGTGCCATTAACTTTCATGCAGTGTGAGGCTTCTGTTCTATGAGTTATTATCACAGAGGTAAAATTGGTTTTCCTCCAACTTGTACCTATCTCCATGTGTCTGTCTTAGACTAACTTGTCAAAATCACCATGCCTCAAAATTTCATCTATTCCAGTCACTCATTCTTGCTTCTAAGTTTTAACAGTTCTGGTCAGTTGTTCTTCACCATGCAAGCGTTACCTAGTTTTCACGTGTATGAAGAAAACAGTAAATCAAAATACAAAGTGATGGATTACCAAGGGTTGTCTTAACTCCCGTTGCCTTGTTGTTCCTGTACGTAAGTTAGAGGAGCAGGGAGAGTGTCTTTGTGCCTGCAGTGTTGTAGTAAAATCTGTTAGGAAAACTAGATCTGCAGAATCATGGGCTCTCTGCAGCTCTGATCTCTCTGTGGTAAGCATTTTAGCAGAACAATAGTGGTGGTTTATGGGAAGGTTACTCTTAAGAACTGAAAGGTTTTGGCTCTTGGAATCATTTTACTCTGGAGTGGTAAATACTATCCTGTTAGGTGGAGCCGTTAGAAGCTTGAAGTGCTGCTTTTCAGAAGCAAAGTGTCAGTGTTTGTATTGAATTAATAAAGTGTTTTGTGAATGTGGTTAGATATCTAATGTTCAGTGAATGCTATTGAGATATTTTGCCCTTTAGGCATTTTACTAATAACCTGTTGGCTTGGTACCTGAGTACTTTAATTGGTTGTTTGAAGAATTGCGGTCCCTCCACATTAGCAGATAAAATGTAGGGTCCCACTGATAAAATTTTGAATGTATTTGCATTACCAAGCCACTGTTTATTTGAAAGTTATGAGTCTAATGGGATTCTGAAAAAGAAGTACTTGTGAGTCTAGTGAATTGGAAATTTAGTAACTGCCTTCATTCTGCTAAAAACTATTTGTTAAACCTCGTCTAATACTCCTCACAAAAAAACCCCTAGTGTAAATAGTAACAGTACATTTTACAGAACCCCTAAGTTTTGCTACTCGTTACTTCCAGCATACAAAAAAATTGGTTAAATGAGACTTTTCAGTTCCTCTTGTTCTGCCAGTACTTTATTACTTCATAAAATTTTGTATTTACTTTTAAAGAATTTTCTCTGACATCACAGTTGAAAGTAGTATCAGAAAAAGGAGTACTGTGTCATTGATGAAACTGTTGTTTGATTTTTCTTTCAGTGTGATTTTTTTTTTCCCCCCTTAACAGACAGAGCCATTTCAAAAGCCAGTTTCACTAGATCAACACCCAGATTATGCAGAATATATCTTTCATCCAATGGACCTTTGTACGTTAGAGAAGGTTTGTATGAAGCTAAGGGAGGAATGTTCCTTCAGTTTGCTAACATGAAGATTTCTGAAGTGTTTGATGGGAAGGGGAGAGAGGTTGCTTGAAATTAGTTTGATGACTTTTTTTGGTCAGTTACAGCTTAAAAACAATTTTATGCCAACTGAACAAGTCCACTATTTTGTCTGAACCAGTAACAAATGCTCAGGAAAAACAGTATGAAAATGTCAGGCTTACACTGATGACTCCTTCCTATATAAATTCATCTAATTCTAGGAATGATCCTGTGGGGAGACTTCATTAGCCAGGGTTGGCATTTGATCATCATGTTTGTAAGCTATGAATGGATCACTGGTCCATTGATCTGGGACCATTTGAGTGTATATCCAGGGGTCATTCCAGACTATTTTACTGATCATTCAACAAATACTGTAATCTCCACTGCACCTGAGGTGTGGAAGAAAAAAGAAAGTCAAGAGGTGGATAATGGGACTTTCATTCTCCGTTCATTAATTTAAAAGTTTCAAGTAGTGAAGAAGTTCTCCATTCTCCACTGCTTAATGAAGAGTGAAGCATTGCAGAGTTTTGTTCACTAGGACCTGGTGAAGAGATAGCAAATTTTCATTCTCCATGTCCTTACAGTGGAGGTGGAGATCTGTATGGTACAAAGGTGTAACAAATCCATGTGACTGAGTTTATCTAATTGAATTACTTTAGCCACTGAGTAGACTGAAATATCAAACACACTGTCTTATCTACTCTGACAAATAATTTTTTCTGGATCTTCTAAAAATTTAAAAGCAAAAATGCTGTGGAGCAATAATATTTCAGTACAAGAAATCAAGGACTCATTTTTTTGCACAGACATCAACTGGAACGCTATTTCAGGAAAGGAACACTTTTTTTTCGTAATGTTAAAGATTCTGGTCTAAGTAATTCATTATTTAGAGTTAATTTACACAGTTCATACATTTTCAGGGCAGTCAAAAGACACCCTGAATTTGGTTGATTCTTAACTATTTAGAATCATAAGTCTTACAGTAAATAAGTAGTCAGTTTTATTAATTGTAGGACTGATAGGAAACAATGTTCAGGAAAAAGGTGTCACTTTACTCATTTCTGTTTCCTGATTAATTCTTAATTTTTCCTTTACAGAATGTTAAAAAGAAAATGTATGGTTGCACTGAAGCATTTTTGGCTGATGCCAAATGGATTTTGCACAACTGCATTATTTACAATGGGGGTAAGTATTAATATGCACTTACATCCTCAGATACGAAATTTTGAAATAAAGTCGTAGAGCAATTTGTAGACTTGTAGTTGGCAAATGCGGAAAGTATCTTCCTGTTAATGACCATAGTGCCTAAACACAACAGATTTTATTTTTTTAACAACTTGCATTCATAAAACTGTAGGACCAAATACAACCCATGTCTTCACTTGCTCATTCCACCTTAAAAAAAGGATAAAATAATTTAGAATCATAGAATGGTTTGGATTGGAAGGGACCTTAAAGATCATCTGTTTCCAGCTCCCCTTGTCTGGTTCCAACCCGCAAGTTGCTTTAGGGTTTTACATTGTGCAGCACTTTGTAGGAGATGATACACGGTGTCCCTCACTGAAAGAGTTTTTTAAAAAAGCACATTGAAAGTTTGTTATGTGTTATATTGAGAAGAAAAGTGCCTACCTTCTGCTTTTACAAGCTTGTAGTTTATACATACATGTTTTACATCGTCTCTTTAGATGTTCTCTTTTATTTTAAGTTAACTTTTAAAATCAAAACCTGTTGATTTTATTGTAATTCCAGCATGGCAATTTTCTTGGTTTAAAGCATTTTGTTGTTTCTCAGGAAATCACAAATTGACACAAACAGCAAAAGTCATCATCAAAATCTGTGAGCATGAGGTATGTGTGCCCCAATTAACTTAATTGTTCTGTATTTTTAGTGTTCCATTTCACGTATTCATGAGTGAAATATTATATGTCTTCTAATGTGTGTATTGCATAACTATAATTTTTGTAGGCTTTCTTATTTTTAGATATGCATATCCATGGCCTGCAGAATGATTTTTGGCAAGGGCATTGCTTGCTAATGTGTCTTCCATTAGGATATTCACTATAATTAAGACTTATGGGGGAGTGGGAAGAGAAGAAAGCGGACATATGGATTCTGCGCAAAGAAAGCTATCTTCTAAATGAATATTTGGAGCTGGAAAAAGAGACCCACATCTTCTGATTCATAGATGTGTTTTTGGTGGTTCTTTTGCTGTAACAATATGAAATTCATCTAAATAAATGCAAAAATGACTGCATGCACTCTTAACTGATCATTTGCACTCATTTTATTTCAGTGGCAATCCATAATGTTAAGTATTACAAAAATTTGCTGTTCTAAATGTAATATATTTGAACAGTATTTCATTGATACAAATTGTCTGATGATCTGACCCTTTGTATTTATAGAAGTGCTTTCTGCATCCCCAGATTGACACAGCAATATCCGTGATTCACATAAATTTTGAGAACTTGTTAATTCTTAATAGAACAAAATACATGTATAATCTGAGCCTGATATCTTCACTAGTTTATATAATATGAGCATAAGGAGTAAAATATTTTATTTCTAGTTCTGCATAAGTTATGAAATTAAATGCCCAACTGAGGTTATATTTTTGCCATTGGAATGGATTATGATACATAATTCTTTATCATTGGAATAAATACATCAAACAAAGGATGTATTTTTTTTTGACTGGAGTAAATGACAGTAGCATACAGTCTGAAGAGGGATGCAAAAATGTGACTGGTTTATTAACTGGAATGCATGTGTCACAGGGGTAGAAACAGATGGGTGTCTGTCAAAACAGTGTTATGTATGACCACAAATTTGGGGAAAAATGATGCTAGCAAACTAGACAGGCCAATGTAATGACACTGATTGCACTTTGGACTCTGTTTAAGCTCTTCGATAATTGTTTGCTTTTTCTTTTCAGATGAATGAAATTGAAGTATGTCCGGAATGTTATTTAGCTGCTTGCCAAAAACGAGAAAATTGGTTTTGTGAGCCTTGTGTAAGTTAAGGATTATGGTTGTCTAGCTAATACATTAAACTAGCAGTCCTCATTTGACTGTTCCTTGGTATCCTCCGTTGTTTTAAACCTGTGGTGGTTACTGAGTCAAGGAAAGCTGCTGTAGTTTACCAAGTAGCTTGTACTTGCGCATCATGCTCTTTGTGGATTCAGAGTATCTCAAGATGTTTAGCTGTAAAATTGCATACTTTCACAAAAGGATTGGTTCAGTCAGAAATAACTGTAAAGGGTGTCAGCAACCAGTTCGCAACCAGTTCGCAACTTCTCTGTCCTCAAATGTAAGGTATCTGCTCCTGGGCCATCTGTGCCTTCATGTGGTACTTGCACTCAGGGTAAGATTTCAGAAATGTGAATGTCTCTTTCTGTAGGTTTGGACCTGCAAATTTAGACTTGATTTTTTTTTTTTTTCAATACAGCACCAGACTTGGGAAGACTCTTTAAGACCCTTAACTAGAAGTGTATAATCCATCAAGTTCTGTCTTGGACTTGAGAACTTAAAAGATTGGCCCTAGCCTAACTGACATTATGCCACATATTTGGAGAGGATTAATCAAAAATAAATGAATAAAAAAGTGAAATTACAATCTGTTTAATTGAGATACTGAAGTTTGTATGTATTTTTTTAAAAAAATTACTACTTTGTCCTCTCAGGACTTATTATTTATTATCGAATATATAGTAAAATGGAATCTTGTATTTGGCAAGTGCCTTGTGCATATTGGATCTTTATTGAATCTAAGCAATATGTACAATTTAAAAAAAATTATGTTGTTTATCAGATTTGAAGGTAGTACTGCTTGTATTTTCTTACTGTGTATTTTGCCTCTTCATCTAGAGCAATCCCCACCCTTTGGTCTGGGCTAAACTCAAAGGCTTTCCATTCTGGCCTGCAAAAGCACTGAGGGATAAAGATGGGCAAGTTGATGCTCGTTTCTTTGGCCAACACGACAGGTGGGATTCTAACCGAAGGACATCTTTGGCAGTACTTGAAAATTCTTGTAATTTTGTGCTCTTACAGATTTTGGATCCTGTCTTTGAACCTTGACCCTAATAAACTATATAATACTGTAGCATATGCAGTCTTAGTTTCTTATGTGATGTCTGTAGAATGTCGTATGTTTGTAAGGTTAATACACATGTAATCTCAGTGAGTGTGCAAGTTAATTCCTGTGTCTGGTTTTGTGCTGCAGAGAACTGTAGTTCTTAAAGGTGAAGAGGCCAATAAAGTTGTTTATATTGTCTTAACACTGTGGGAGTAAACACACAATTGTAGGTTTAAAAAATGTAGAAAAAAATATAGAAAATATAATCTGTGTTGACAATGCCAGTTTTGCTCCGAAAGGAGTTTTCTGTACTTGGGAACTCTCTGCATGAAAGAAAGTCATGACGAATATGAATTGATTTGTCATGAACTGAAAATATAAATCTATATAGTTGTAAAAAAAACTGTATAGGGCCATGAAATAATGAAGTCAAAGTTCCTAGTGTTTTGGTATTTTGGAAGGTATGGTTTTAGTGTCTGTCTCATTTCATGATAAATAAAATCTGTCCAGTACTCTTTGAGCTTTTCCTAGCATTGAGGAGTTTATAACCCTGACGTGGGGTGTAAAATAGAATATTATGTTTTTAAGAATGTGCTTGTAAAGTTTTTTTCTTTTCCTGACCTGCTTTTCATGTTCTTCTGCTAACTATGACAGATGGAAAGACTGGTTGTCTTACCAGTTATATAGACTGTTATAATTAGAAATATTTTGTCATATTTGACCAGTGTTTATTCATGTTTTATGTCTTACAGTGTAGAGTAACATAAGCTAGTGATAATCTGAGACATGCAGTTTATTTACTTACCAAAAGTGAGCACTGAACTGTTAAAAGAAGAAGGCAGAGATGGTCCTTTGAAATGATCTGAGGTGTGCATATCTGTATAATTAGGCTAAAATAAATAACTATGCACACAAAAGTTGCCAATGTCAATCCATAGTGTGAAATGTAGTTATATTATCTTTTATTTTTCTGTTTTATAAACAGGGCCTGGGTTCCAATAAATAATTGCTACCTCATGTCTAAAGAAATTCCTTTTTCTGTGAAAAAGACTAAAAGCATCTTCAATAGTGCAATGCAAGAAATGGAGGTTTATGTTGATAACATTCGTAGAAAATTTGGAGTATTTAATTACGCACCTTTCCGGACACCATATACTCCCAACAATCAATACCAAATGTTACTAGACCCTACAAACCCAACTGCTGGAACTGCAAAGACAGACAAACAAGAGAAAATCAAACTGAACTTTGATATGACGGCATCACCCAAGATTCTAATGAGCAAGTCTATGCTGAGTAGTAGTAGTGGTCGTAGGATTTCGTTGACAGATATGCCACGGTCACCAATGAGTACAAACTCATCAGTTCACACTGGATCTGATGTTGAACAGGACGCAGAGAAGAAAGCGACTTCCAGTCATTTTAGTGCTAGTGAAGAATCCATGGACTTTATTGAGAAAAACACAGGTAAAAAAAAAAGGGGGGGGTTACAGGACTTTGCATTTGGTTAATGCACTAGTTTTATTCCATGTCCTTTTTAAAGACAGACTGTATTATGACTCATTTGATGAAGAAATTTTAGTAAACGAGAGGTATTTAACTTTCAGTATCACAGATAAGAACTAACAGTCCTTTCTGTCACATTGAGAAGGAATAAATAATCTTGAAAAGTGACCAAAATCCTTCAGTTTAAATAGCAGGAAATAGTTGTAACTGTCAGAATGAATGGCGAGTAGAAGTAAATACACAAAGAGTTAGAATTGTTGTGATTAGGAGGTGTTCTATTTAAAATTTGATAGCTCTTTTTCAAGGCAGTGAGCTTAATTTGCAATGTTCCCAACTGAGTAGCTAAAATATGGTAACACTACAGCTCCATAGGCAGAGTGGATAAAGAGAAAAGAGTGTGGAATACAGAATTTGGACTTCTCAGACTTATAATGTAGTCAAAGACCAAATGCTAGCTAATTTTGTGGCACTCGGGCAGACTACTTTATCTGGATCTTTTTCATGCATAAAAGAAAGTTCATCACTATGTGAAAGAAATGATGCAGTATATTAATTAACATGAAAGTTTTAAAACTTAGGTTTTGGTGAAAGGATGTCTTTGTGTAGAAAACTAAATTAATATGTTCCATTACAATTTTTTAGATAAAAAGCTGTTATTTGTTTATTTATTTATTACAATCTTATTCTTTGTAGCCAGTAAAGACTAGGCTGTGAAACTACCTTTGGGTACAAAAGTGTCTTGTGATATGATTCTGTCCATCTTAAGAAAGTGATGACAAAGTAACTGTATGAATTTAAATATATGGAAATACTTGGATTTTTCAGTAGAGTAGCATGTCAAAAGGAATAATTAATTTTATACATAAATTATCATGTATGTATGTGTACAGCTCTTACACATAAGGTGTAGCTAACAGGTACTGTTTTGTGTCTTAAAAATATAGAGCTTTTGTTATAGCACATTAATACTTCTTTATATTAGTGGAGATGGAAAGTCACATTAAAGCTATTTTGTCAGATAAAGATAAAAGAAGATGACAGATGTTATCCTTGTACCCTGGATTCTTGATTATCATAGCAATTCTGGAGAATTTTTCTAACTTTTCCTCAGGCCTTACTATCCATTACCCTAGTGCATAGAAATGCTGGATTGGATTTAACAGGGGTTAAACTAGAATATTCAGTTTCCCACCTGGCATTTCTACCTGTATATTGTTACAAATGCAGTTTCTGTAATATTTACTTTATCTATAAACTTCACTGTCCTTTTACAGGAATCTGTGTTTCATTTCAAATGTGCATTAAATTACTTGTTTGCTGTAAAATGTAATTCAAGCAGTATGACTGCACAATCGTTAGACAAGACCAGTTTTCTTTGGATGCCTCTGTGGTGTATTTTGAGTGATGTGTAGAAAATAACTTGGAAACAGTTACTGAAACAGCAGATATTGCTGCTCTTTAGGAATCTGAAAATATATAGACAATCCTGGCTGTACTGGGGAAGAAAAAGTGTCCAGCAGTGACAGTTTTCCAGTATGACGTTTTCAGAGCATTAAGCAGAGATTTAACAGACAGAAATTAGTCTCTTGCTGACAAAAATTAGTCCTCTTTTTTTAGGTGATGGCCTACAATGCTTCCTTTTCTAGATTACATGGCTGTTTCCAAAAGTTTGTTTTAGAAACGTTATTTCATGGAGATTTTAAAGGCTCAGAGCGTAGGATTTTTCTTATACTTTGGTAAATTAGAGTATTGGAGACATTTGGTTACTGATCTTCAGCTGAACTGATTAAACTTACTATGATTTGTACTTTTAATTCTTTGATAGTGTAGGTGGGGTTTTCTGTGTTTACTTATGTAGATGAATTAAAATGGATAGCAATTTAGGGTGTAAGAATTTGTTAACACCAGAAATAACCAAATCTTGAAAGCTAGAAACTTTCTGTCACTGCAGAGTGATTTTGAGGGTAAGCACACATTTGATCCAACTATATAGCTGCAATAAAATTATTTTCCTTACAGTTCCTTTCTTTATTAAATTAAAGGGGTAATAGTAACTGGCTTTATTGTGATAATTTTTAAACCTGTCTTTATTAATCTTGTACTTTTTCAGCTTCTCCAGCACCAACGAGAACGGGTCAAGCAGGGAGCTTGTCAGGCAGCCCCAAACCTTTCTCTCCTCAAGCGTCAACGCCAATTTCTGCTAAGCAAGAAAGAACTTCCACTCCAGGAAGCATTCTGAATCTTAATCTTGGTTAGTCTTAACCTTTGAAAATCTAATAGTGGTAGAACCGAATAAATTACAGTGGTCAGTGCAACGTAATGTGAACAAACTTGCTTGTATGTGGCTTTAAATGAACGAAGGGCTTTAAACGAGGCACGTGTTACTGTGATTTCATCAGATATGCTGTTCTGTTCTTGTTTTATAAGTGGAAGTTCCTGTTATTGTTTCTTCTTGTTGATGAAAGGAAGTAGTTAAAGGATGATTTTTTTGGGTTTTTTTTTTTTAGCTGGACTGTTCAAATTAATGTACATTGTAATGTAATGATTTTCTTGTGGTCTTTAGGATTTAGGATATACTAGGGCTTCTCTCCTGCTGCCTTCACATCAGCTCCTCACTTACCATCCCTCTCTAGGGAGATAGATTGATGAAAAGAATTAACAGGTGTCTTGAAAATCCCTAGAAGTAAATTTTGGGAATCTGGAATTTTGAAAGATGGAGTAGATAAGTACTAAGTTGGTAAAATAGTTCTGAAAGTCAAACGGATGTAAATCAGTTTCCTGAGTCATGCTTTGTTCCTGAGTTTGTTTTGAGTATTCTGATTCAGTTCTGGCTACTTCTTACCTCCACATGATATTACATGGAGAAACAGGATTTTTCCCCTTAGTGTCAGCCAAGTACTTCAGGAGGGCTTGAGCTCAAATGCTGAATTCATGTTTTCAGTGAGTTACAGATATTCTAGGTACAAGCTCACAAGTATATTTTTCAGTGTGTCTATCTGTGTGGACATAACTGTAGTATTAATTTATTCTGCTGCACTGTAGCTGTTTGTCGTCTTACCTGAGGTGACAATGCATTTGGAAAAATGTTAAGAAATATGTGGTGCTGCACTAGTTTTGAACCACAGATGGGAGACATCAGCTGGAGCATAGATTATTTTGAATAAATAGTGTGGATTGGAAAATCCGATGTTATGGTCCATGAGCAATACTATAAAAGAACAGCTAATATGCTTTCAAGTAGAATATCAGCTGAAAAGCTTTAGGGGAGTATACTCTTCGGTGCTGGGAATGAAAATGGCAATGCTTCTTCATTTAATAATGTCAGCTGTGCCAGACATAGATTAATCTGTGAATCATATGGTTTTCAGATATGATTTACTGTGTCTCATTGTCATACATATGTGAACAGGGTTTCTCTCTGAAAAAAACAAAAATGAAAGTCCAGAAAACAAAGACACTCAAGGTCCTGTGCAGCCTGCTGTAGGAGACCCTGTTTTGGCAGGGGGGTTGGACTAGATGACCCACAGAGGTCCCTTCCAACCCCTAACATTCTGTGATTTTGTGATACCTTGAGCAGAGTACTAGGGGAACTCCATGATTGTCCTTCAATTCAGCAATAAGGAAAGCAAAATAATGGAAATGAGCCATCTGTTGTTACTGGCAGACTGGCTAAATTGAAAAATGGAGGTGTGAATGACCAAGCTATACACAGATTGCTTGGAAAAAATACCTGTTCCAGGTAGTGTAGGACCTGTCCTTGTGTGACAGAGGCAGAAGAGACAGAACAAGTTTGACCAACTCAAGAGTGAAAATTTTCAGATTGCTAATGAGAAAAAGTAAAGACTTTGGAGATGAGAACTGAAGATTCCCCCACAATGGGCTTGTCTGCCCTTTGGCTCTGTTTTCTTTTGACTAATGCTTTGACAATAATGAGACAGATTGGAAATCCAGATGTCATTGAGACCACCTTGTAGGCGAGACAGGAATTTGGACTGCGAGACTTTCATATATTAAGATATACCCTATGATGTAGGGTTCCCTGGGGAGGTGTTACATTGCCTCGACTTCATCTTCACCCATGCTCTATTTTTTCTTCTGTTTGTATCCTGCCATGTAGTTAACCAAGGCTGTGAAGGCCTTGAATCAAATTCTGTACTAAGGGTGATACAACCCTTACTGCTGTCAAATTAGTGTGGATTGGGTAGACATAGTTAGCACAGGAAGAAGAAGCTTAATCTAGTAAATATTTCCAATACAAGGAATAATTTTTTTTTCAAAAGTATTTAAGTGACTTAGAGCCTTCGTTTTTATTTTCAAAATTTACACTGCACTGAAAATTATAAGAGTTTGTATTATGTTTAGTCTCTTTCAGTATGAATGTGACAGGAGTGTGAAAATCAGCATTACTTTTATGACCATTTCACTGGGACTAGAAAGGATGATTTGAGTTTTATTTAGTCTGAATTTGTGTATGCTATAATGCATATATGTTACAAGCCAGGATGAACCAAATTATAGCCTGTATATTTGGCTTGTGGATCGGACCACACAAGTTGATGGTTTTCTCTAGGAAGAGATGATGAACTGCTATTTTAGCAGTAAACAAAAATTGCATAAATACCCGAATTGTTCCTTCTGTACCTGCTCTATCTGTAATACAGATTCTGTTTGCAACCCAATAGGAGACAGTGGCCAAGCCTGATTGAGACGACTGTACTGCTGAACTTGAGTCATTATGTACTTTGGCTCTTAAATTTTAAATGTGGAATGTACCTTGATAATATGTTCAAACTTTTAAAGAATATCTGGTTAGAGGAATTTCTGGCTCAGCCCTTCATATTTATGTCACTTTTCTCTGAGTTGTTCATCAACAAAAAAGGTCTCGTAAATATATGTGGGGTTTTTTTTAGTAAAAAAAGTAAAATAAAGCAATACTGTGACATCTATAACTGCTGTGGAATGAAACTCTAAACAAAGCACAAATGCACATTGTGCCAGTGTTACCTTTTGTCTTCTCTGTGGCTGCTGTCCTTTTCCAGCATATGGCTTTTTTGATCCTACCATGAGACAGTTCAAGGAGCAGAACTGGCCGAACCGATATCTTCATTCCTTCTCCCTTCTTCGTGCCCAAACAAGCAACTAGCTCCATACTGGTTTAGTGCCCTGAGCACTAATGGAGTGTCAGCACTGTTGGCAAAGAGTAAAGGATAGGACTATGGAACAGAAACATAACCTGTGAAATTGAAAAACCGAATCAAAAATGTGAAACTTAGTTGCTAAGACAACTTTAGCTTTAGCACTGTAGTCTGTGGTCTCTGCAGACAGACCTGTATGTTTCAGAGTGAAAATTCTCTACATGTATAGGAGAACTCGAGAAGATTTTGCTGACATAGGTTGAAAATTTTCTTATTTTATCTTAAATTTATTTATCTCGTGTTACAATCCACATTTTTATTTCTATTCTTATGACTTATCTTTTGAGTTTTAAATGGTGACTATAAGGATTTGTATTCCTATTCAATTTTCTCTGTGAAAATATTGCTACTAGTAGTAAAGAACAGCGGTAGCTTACTAGAAGTACTGTCAGACAGCTTACAGACCTGAATGCTGATTTCTTGGTAATTTCACATTGACAGACAAAGCATCCACATAGTTGGTGCTTGTGTTTTGTGTGTGAAATATGTAGTATCAGAAACGAAGTAACCATTGTTTGTGTAAGGTAATTCTAGAATTATTATTTAGCCAATAATTACAAAAGAAGTGAAATATGTTTCAGATTGTCTGCGTTGTAATTCAGTAAAATTTGTCTTACCTGGGTAGTGATGTCTTTTTGTAAAATACTTTACTTAGTTCCTTTTTGTTTTTCTAGATCGTAGCAAAGCTGAGATGGATCTGAAAGAGTTGAGCGAGTCAGTCCAACAGCAGACCACTCCTGTGCAGCTCATTTCACCCAAACGACAGATACGTAGTAGGTTTCAGCTTAATCTTGACAAGACAATAGAGAGTTGTAAAGCACAACTTGGTAAGTATATCTCAAGAATGCAATAGACATCTGAAGGATACATTGGAGGAAATTTTGAATTGGAGTTTAAAAGAAGTTGTCAAATAGTAAAACCTTAAATATTTTATGCATTAAAACAAGAGTAGAGGATATTTGAACTCTTAGAGGCAAGTGAACTGCTTAAATTTAAAATACAGCGAGACCTGGTGTTTCAAATTTTTGTCAAAAAGCTTCCATCTTTTAATCTATTTTTGTACCATTCTGACGTAGGTAGTGTGACAGAATTATAGTCTTAACATTTGCTTTGTAAATTGAAAAATTCTAGAATGGTACCTAACTTATGTCGGTTGCACAAATTCATATATCCAGTTACACAGGAGCTGAATGCCGCTAGAAACATTAGTGTTGTCTAGCACTTAATTAAAGACTTTCTAGGCACTGAAAAAATTAGAGGTTCTCCTCACAAAACTTACACAGTCTAAAACAGATTCTGTAAATATGCATGTAAGTAACTCTAACCAGGTGAATAGTGTTACTGATTTTAAGGTGGTTCCTTGTGGATAAAAATAATTCCTCTTTGTATTTGCTAGCATTGGTCCTAAGTTGAACAAAACAGCTTGCAGGTAGTAGAAAAAAGCATTGAAAAGAGGGCCATCGAATGAAATAGAAATATTAATTGGAATATGTGGAAGGTAATTCTTATACATTCTGGTGTTGAGATAGGGCACTAAGGGAATTGTTTATAGTTTAAGGACTGACAGTTAAGATAATGGTATGTATACACTTTTTTTCCGGTATATAGAGTATTTTTTTTGGTAATATCAGTCAATCTGATGTCAGCATGGAATGTACTTTCCTTCCCAAAATTAGGAATAAATGAAATATCTGAAGCTGTTTATACTGCAGTAGAACACAGTGACTCTGAAGATTCTGAAAAATCTGACACCAGTGATAGTGAATATAGTGATGAGGATCAGAAATCAAAGAATGATCAAGAAGATGGAGAGGACAAGGACGGTACAAGAAGTGACAAAGAATCATTGAGCTTGAAAAAAAAACCTAAGCCCCCAGCACAGAATGAAGACAAGGAGGAACTTAAAAGCACAAGTCCAGAAGTGGATAAAGCAGATGACCCGGTCAAAGAAAAGGCAATTATAGACACTGAAAAAGAATTTTCTGAAAAGGGAAAAAGTTTACAGCATCCTGCAAAAGAAAAACTGAAAGGTAAAGATGAAACAGACTCTCCAACTGTGCATCTAGGACTGGACTCTGATTCTGAGAGTGAACTCGTCATCGATCTAGGAGATGATCAGTGTGGCCGTGAAGGAAGGAAAACCAAGAAAGAGTCTAAAGAACCTCCTTCTAAACAAGATGGTAGGATGAAATTATTTTCTTTCTTTTTTTTTCTTCTATTCTGTAGGGCTGTTACTGAAGCCGGAGTTGTTACCTTTATTTTTGCATTAAGACAAAAATATCTGTACTAAACCAATTTTTAGGAATGATTTTTCATTCTTTGTGACTATGAAAAAAGTTTTCAGTCCCCAGTATAGTTTCTGGTTTAAATAAAATACGTTTCATTGAGTTTCCTTTCAGCAGCGTAGAACTATGAATATCTGTAATATTTGTTCTGTGACAAATGTAGAATTTATTTCGCAATTGTTACGAATCTTTGCATTTCCATAGACCTCCCAAAATTGCAGGTATAGAAGAAGCTGGAACTTAACAAACATACAAATTGAATAAGGTCCCATTGAAATCAATGTAAATGCTCTCAGTAATAATCAAAAGAACAGCTAAATCAAGTGTATTGTCCCTGAGATATTGTCCCTTGTTTCTGTGTGTTGCTAAAAGAGGAAAGCAATCTCAATTAATGAGTGAAGTGCTTTTGCTAAGCTTGTTCTGCATGTTAGCCTTTTGACAAAATAAAATAGAAAACCAGATTTAAATGGTTAGATAGAAAAATACTTTATTCTTCATATAACTATCTTGTTGGCTATATTTTATAGCATGTTGGCTCAAACATTTTATTTAAAACAATGTTTTCAATCAGTTAAGCATACTTTAGAAGACAATTTAATGCTTCTGAATTTTGAATCTCAAAATGGAATTTAATGGATAAATGTTACTTTGAGATAACAAAGAAAATAGGCTTACAAACTAAAAACAGAATTGTAATTTTGGGACTTTTATATGGACTGATTCTTGTTTTGTTTAAAAATTTATTAAGCAAGGTGGCTTTGTGAATTTCAAAACCACTGTTTCATGTGTTACTACTGGCCTAAACCAGTGATGGTTGAAATAATAAGTAATCCTTGAAGTTTACTTTGATATTGAGGCAAAAAAACCCCAACATATTCTGAGTTAAATTAAACATGGATTTAAATATTCATGTATATAGACCTATGTGAATATATTCTAGACAGCATTTGTGTCCGGTCCATGGTTCCAAAGCCCCTACCTGGATATCGGATATTAAAATACCTTCGTCCAGAAAAGAAATCTGATACATGCAAATCTGAAGGTCTTTGCACCCTGTCAATGCAGCAGCCTTCTCTTTCAGATAGGTTTGTCCTAGCCACAGCTTTGGAAGAATCATCCGGTTCCTAAGTTGATCTGAGATGTGGAACAGTCAACTATAAATTCTGGCAGATTTTTGAGTAAACATAGATATCTTAAATAGACTGTATATTTGGTTGTCAGTGCCTGTTCACCTTTGTTTAGAAAGTTTTTATTACGCTATTCCTTCAGTTATTTTGTGTTCAGTCATTGTTGCTTTTGAATGTACTTTTCTCCTGAAAGAAACTGGGATGACAGTTGTAAAGTGGTGACCCAGAAACATCCTAACAAATGCTGACTTCTCACATATCTTCCAAAGGAGGTCAGACTGGTTTTCTGGGTTTTGTACTTTTTGTTTTGTTTTGTGTAATGTCTAGTGCTTCTGAGTTGCCACCAACTTCAATTAGACTGAAAAGAGTTTACTTGTAGAATATCAATTACCTTGTGAGGAAAATAATTCAGAGTAGACTGGAAGATGCATATGGCTCTTCCAGAACTTAGATGGAAAATTATGAATCAGATGTTTTGGTGAAAAGCTGGCATTACGTTTTATGTTTGTTTAGTTGTAGGTAAAACTCCACCTTCCTCCAGTGCAAGCACCCAGTCTCTACCAGAAACTCCAGTACTTACCCGCTCTGCAGTCCAGACTCCACCAGCTGGTGTGACAGCAACTACTAGTGCTTCTTCTACTGTTAGTGCTCCATCTGCAGCCACTGGGAGCCCTGTGAAAAAGCAGAGGCCTCTGCTGCCTAAGGAAACTGCCCCTGCTGTGCAGCGTGTGGTGTGGAATTCTTCGAATAAATTTCAGACATCATCTCAGAAATGGCACATGCAGAAGGTGCAGAGACAGCAGCAACAGCAGCAGAGCCAGCAGTCTCAGTCACAGCAGCCTCAGTCCTCTCAAGGGACAAGATATCAGACAAGACAAGCAGTTAAAGGTATACACTTTCTAACTCAATGTGCCTGTGATGCCTAATTCCCCAGTAGTGATCTCAGTGCTCCAAGGCTGCCTAACCAGGAGTTCTTCCATATAAACAAAATCTCAAAGTGTGGTTCTACTCTGATAAGTGACTTTAAAATACAACAACTTACTCACCATACCTCCTCTTTCTGGTGTGTATTTAGAGTCATGTCTCCTTATTTTAATGACAGAAAGTTTGTGTGTGTATCTGTATGAATATTTTTGCCATTCTTAGCCATCGCAGATTTGGGAGAGTGAACTGAATTATTTTCTGGCTTATTTGATGAAACCATTAACTCTATTCCACTTGCATGATTACCACTGTCACCTCTGTGTCTACAAACTGGATCCAGTTTTACCTGACAAGCTGATCTGTATGGTTTTTCAGAGTATAGTTTGACAGTAATGAAATTACTCAGACTGCACTTGTCTTTGAAATCCCCATTGCTTAACTCTTAACATGACTTTGATGCTAGTTTACTGAGCAAACAGTGACGGCATTTTAGTGTTTTCATAACTGTGTTCTTACCAGCCCTTTGCCCAAGGTTTTGCTAATAGTAGGCACATAGTAGCATAAGGCCATGCTTCTGTTGTTTCACTTCACAGAACAATAACTTTTTGCAAATCTAGCTTCATTTGTAATTTGAAGTTAATAAACTGAACTCTTTACTGTTGTGCCTGATGAACAGATATTCTCCATTCTGCTAACACTGCTGGCAGGTCAGTGATTTCACACAGAAGAGAGCTTTAGGTCACATACAAACGTTTACCAGAGGCACATTTCTCTGATCCCAAACTGCTTTTATGACTGTCATTTAAGAAGTATTGGAGAAGTGTTATCTTTCTACTTGTAGACTGCACATATTTGATACGGAAATATTCAGTGAGAAAAACAAATGTGAAAGTTGGTGAAGTCTTTCTTTTAATAGTCATACTTTAATATAAAGGGCTTAATAATATGGACGGAACTTTAAATATTCAGCCTATGAGTTTGTTTTATCAATATGTTTACTATTAAGCACATCATAGCTATGTTCCGTCTTATAGAAATACTATAAGCTAGAACTACAAAGTCTATAAATTTCTTACATACTGAATTGGCACAAACAAAAATATAGTACAGAGCAATAAATTGAATAACTTATTTCAATAATTCCTGTTTTGAGGATATTGGCAATAAAGACATCTTTTATAATATGAATCATTAAAAATAGATTGAAAAATATCGTCCTAAAATATTTTTTAAAAAAAGTATTTAAGGCAGTTAAGTTGTTAGGGATGAAAAGGTGAAGGTCTTTGCATTTTGATTTGTATGGTCACTTGTAATGACCCACTGTTTAATATTATTTGAAATATTGACCAAAGATGAGAAAACTTTTCTTATCCTGTTTGACTTAACACTATGAATAACTTCTTTGCTTTAATGAGTTATTCTAATGTTGCATTCCTTGCTGTGCAGCCAACCAAAGGCTAATGTTGATCTCGATACATGTATATTAAACATGTTGCAACACTAATAATGATGATTAGTAGCATTAATAACAAAAGAATGGGAATAACACAAGGAAGTATTACTACAGCAGGCTTTCTTCAACAGTGGCTCACTAAACCTTGTTTCAAAGCAAAAAGAAAAGAAATTCAATAATATCTTAAAAATTATTGCAAATGAAAATATGAAAGTCTAACTTATGTTCATGTGTATGGTATTGGGAGTTCTCCAGACTGAGAGGTTAGGTAGTGAATTCCTAGGAAGTGGGTTGAAGAAGTGCAAAAATGGAGGAATACACATCTGAGGGAGACTTGTGCATTGGCCGGTCTAAAATAATAAATTTGACAGGTATATTTGTTTCATTGCCTGTAAGCCTTATAATTATGTACAAGTTCAGTGGCTGGGCACTGTGTGATTAACTGATTAAATGGTACCATTGTATAAATAATGTAAGTCTTTGAAATGATTAGGTGCACATATTTAAGTTAGACATTAGAGTTAGAAATTTGCCTATTTATTTTCATAATTGTTTATGTGATTGATCTGCTGTATGTTCTCTTTTCTTAGCTGTGCAGCAAAAAGAGATCACCCAGAGCACTTCCACATCCACTATAACTTTGGTTACAAGTACTCAACCTATTTCTATGGTTACCAGTTCTGGATCTGCAAGTACGCTTTCTTCCTCAGTTAATACAGATTTGCCAATTGCAACAGCTTCAGCTGATGTGGCTGCAGATATTGCTAAATATACTAGCAAAGTAAGTTCTTGAGCAAGGTTTTCTTGAAATTTTATTTTGAAGTGAACTTTCACATTTTTGACATTTCAAATTCTGAAATCACTTTATTTTCAGGTTGTCATATGTTGCAAATTCATTCTGCTGGGTAGGAACAGCTAGATTTTGATGAAAGTGCTGAACCATCTTTTCAGAGGTGGCTGAATCCTGCCGTTCCAAGCCAGAGTGTGTATATGATAGGCTTCAGCTCCTCAGACACTTTAAAACCCTTTCCTTCTCATGTTCCCCCATTGGTTCTTCTTACGTACGTTGCATTGTGTTTTGGACCATTTTCTGTGTTTTCTCCTAAAGGAGCATCATGTTTACAAAAAACGTTAATATTTCTTCATCTGTGTCCGGTAATGCGTACACAAAAGTGTAGTTTTGTTTTAAAACACTGTATTACTTCATCAGATGGTAATTTGTCATAAGTGTGTATTCATGTATTAAAGCAGAAGCTAAGTTGTTAAAGAGGAGATGTGGTGTAATACTTGTATCGTAATAGTGACAGTGAAGGTATGGGACATTAGCTTTTCATATACTCTCTTAGATCTTTAAATTAAAAAATCAACGTGAATACTATATAAGGAAATAAAGTTGAGTAGCCAGTCATTAAAACCACCAGGATTTATCCGGACTATCAACTTTCAATGTTCTCACTCAAGCATGTGGTCTTGGTGGATTTGTCGGTGGTCAGCAATGTGAGTAAATGTTTCCCAAACTCATGGTCATATTTTTTTGTTTGTAAATCGTATCAATGGCAATTTCTTGGAAAAGTAGAAGGTCAAGGATTTCACCAGTTCAGGACACTTAACAATCAGAGTCCTGGTCAAAACTGTTGTGTTCTACCCTCTAAATAGTCCTCTGAAAGTAGACCCAGATAAATATAGAGAGACATGTGGGGCATTGTTGATAGTAGTATAAGTTCCCATTAAAGTGGTTGAAAGGAGGTGAAAGTGGGTATCCATCAAAAGTAAGTATCAAAGATTTTTTTCATTTTGTCTTTCAGATGATGGATGCCATCAAAGGAACAATGACTGAAATATATAATGATCTTTCAAAAAATACTACTGGAAGTACAATAGCTGAGGTTAGTGTAAGATAAAATAAATAATATTGCTTGCATTTTAACTTTGAAAGTTGCAAAATAGTATTTTTATATATAAAAAGTACCATGTAATTTATACCTACAAAGTACTATAAATTGAGACTGTCCAGATGTTCGAATTTCTGTCCTGTTTTAGAAGTAATGATTAGAGTGGTAGAGAAAAACACTGAAAAAATATCAGATGTGCTCTATAAGATAAGCAGCAAGAACAGTAAGCCAGCAAGCCCGGATCCTTAAAGCTGCTGTTGAGGATTTAATTCTGTTTCACTTTGTTTAAAATGAGAAATGAAGTCTTTTTTTTAAAGTGCCATTTTTAAAGCATGTATTTATCTGCCAGAGGAAGATTTTAATTTACTCGTAGTGCAGTAGCTTATTCCACTTATGTGATTATGACCATAGTTTTTAATACTTTTAAAAAATACTTTTAATACTTCTTGCATTTTTTAATGAAATGCTATGCATTGCTTTTAATTGTCTCCAAAGGCAGTACTTAGTATGTTTTAAGTGGTTTTTTAAAACTTGAAAAAAGCAGATTAAGCAGTGTAAACTAAGTACAAATGTGAACAAATAAAGCTCAGGGTTAAAAGTGTGATGATTTGTTTGCTTGCTTTAACCAAAACAGTGGAGTCACAATTTTGAGCAACGATATTTGTATTCCCAATCCACAGTAAATGAAAAAATTGCTTTCCTAAGCCTCATCTAGTTAAAAAAAAAAAAAAAAAAGTCATACTAATGAATGCAAGCAAAACTGAGGAATAGTTTTTTGATTCCAGTGAGAGAAATTTGAGACTACTAATTTCAGAGGAATCAAGAGCAAGTTTAATAGAAATTTGTTTTCAAACAATCCTGTACTTTTCATGGTAGGAAAATCTAGCAACAAATATTTAGAATACTTTAGACTTTGGTTCCTCGTGTTAGTGTGGGGGAGCCTTGATGTAAGTAATGATCAGACTCTTTGCTTTGGGCATGTTTTTCTGTTTAATAGTTACGTATTATACATTGCACCCTGTTTATTATTACTAACTATTAAATTTTTAATATTTAGATTCGGCGTTTGAGGATTGAGATAGAAAAACTTCAATGGTTACATCAACAGGAACTCTCAGAAATGAAGCATAACCTAGGTATGAAAAAGGCAGTCCAAAATAGTGTGTCAGTTTGTTGTCCTAAATAGAAGATCCAAATGCTTGTAATATGTATTTCCTTCATCATATGATACTACAGTTTGTCCAAGTGGAGGACATAAAACCTTATACAATGTGTTGTGCTGATGTTAGCAGACACCTATTGAGTATGTACACAAAGTTGCTTCTGTCTCTGCATAGTAAGCAACATGTGTTCATCCCTTAGACAAATTTAGGCTAACGAGAGCTTTTGATAGGAGAGAATAACTCTTTTGATAGGAGAGAATTTCATGCATCATTGGATAATCCCTCTTCATGAGATATTTTATGCTTATTACTTCATTCTAATTCTCATATGAAGCAGATTCTGTTAATATAGCCGCTGGGGGAAACTGCTTCCTCTGGTACCTTTGGAGATTGTAGCTGACATTTTGGTTCAGATCAGCTGTTGGTGTACACACTTACTTATTTGTTTAAAGTGAGTAGTGAACCTTGACTCAGTCTTCATGCCAGACTGTTAGTGAAAGAAGTTCAAAATACTACCTGAAACAGATAAAAGAATATTCCTCCTAGGAGGGGGATTTTCAGCTCTACATTCGCTCAACCATATGGGCAGGAAATGAAACTATGATTAAATGTAATTCCTCTTAAATTATCCTTATTTAATGCACTGACTGTAGGAAGAAGGTTGCAATTGAATTATCAAGTCTTCTTTAAGCTACGTGTGGTCCAAACAGCCCCAGGACTGTGTAATACAGTGTCCTCATCCACTTTTTAACTCTCTTTTTACAGAGTGTATCTGGAATGGAAGTGAATTAGGGGCAGAATAACTCCATATTCAGACTCGTGTCTTTGGTTTGTTAGTAACGTTCTGCTCTTTCAAATCAGGGTAGACCAGTTTCTCCACTGCTGCAGTCCAGTTATAGCAATCTTCAGAATTACTTGGGTATGGCAACAACTCATCTGTAACTCACAAAACTGAATATATAGGTGTGCTCAGAAATAAAAGAAAAATCCTTTAAACCCTTTGCCACCAGTCTTAAGCTACTGATTTAAATAAGCACCTTTAGTGGTGTTTTGAAAGTGTGTCAACTTCAGAGATTTTCAGAAGAGTCAAAGATTCATCCCGAGTCAACATGGCTAGAATCGGAATTCTTTATTTGTATTTGCCCGCTTGCTTGAAGATTCTGTCAAGCTCTGTTTCACTCGTAGTCACTCATAGTGACTGAGGTATCAGTTCATGACTGCATTAATAGTGGGTGGTTCTCAGAATAATCTTGAAGTAAGGCTCAAATTTACAGCTTTATTCATGCAGTGATGAGTTCTTACGGGTTTGTCAGTGTCCTTCTTGGAACTTTCACATTTTTTCTTTGCAAAGAAACCAAGATACAATGAACAATTGATTCGCTGTTATGTATGAGAAAAGAGAAGAAATATAATTCTCTCTATTTTCTGAATATTGGAGCAGAACAAAAGTTTGGGCTTGTAATGACAAAGTATGTTAGCAGCAGCTGCGTACACCCTTTTTGTCTTTATGCTGCACCTAGTACACCTGGACTCTGATCCTTTGTGGAACATCTAGAACTTAAGTGTTAAATGGAAGGTAATGGTTAAGGGTAAAAATCATGGTGCCAGAATAAGGAAAGAAGATGGAAGGAAGGTGTTCATTTGTTGACTAGGTATGAAACAAGGATGCCCAAACTCAGGGAAAATTTTGGCTGTTAGCTTTAATTTCATGTTGTCTTTAAACTCATGAAAATTATTGGTTTGCACCTTGCTGTTGAGGGGGTGGAAAATGGAAAACTCATCTTCCTTTGCATTTTGAGTAGAACTGACAATGGCTGAAATGCGTCAGAGTCTAGAACAAGAACGAGATCGTTTGATTGCTGAGGTGAAGAAGCAGCTGGAATTGGAAAAGCAGCAAGCAGTGGATGAAACTAAAAAGAAGCAGTGGTGCGCTAACTGCAAGAAAGAGGCCATTTTTTATTGCTGTTGGAATACTAGCTACTGTGACTATCCCTGCCAACAAGCTCACTGGCCTGAGCATATGAAATCTTGCACACAGTCAGGTAATCTTGCTCTGGGTTGCCTGTTTCACAGCTGAGGGGATTAGGGTGGGTGGAATACACAGTGACTCAATATTCTTCATTTGCATGGGCGCAGATGTACCTGTGAAGAGTGACTCATGGCCTGGGGCACATGAGTAGCGGCTACTTTCTCTTTTTTCCTTTATTTTAGCTACTGCAACACAGCAAGAAACAGATACTGAAATTAGCACAGAAACATTAAATAAATCATCCCAGCCCAGTTCAAGTGTGCAGTCTACGCCCACAGAAACAGCCAGCACCCCTAAGGAAAAGGAAGGTTCAGCTGATAAAAGCAAAGAGAGTGTTACAGTAAGTATCATTTGGTCACTTCGAACAAAAAGAATATGTAAGATTTCTCTGAAACCTACCCCTAAAGGCTTCCCTGGATCAGCCAGGAATGTATGACTATTTGCATATTTCAAAAAGTGTGATTTGGGGAGTGAGACAGGGTGTTGTGGTGTGCTGTTTTGTTTTTTTTTTTTCTTCATCTTGGCAAAAAAATCTCCTTCTGTCCTCTGGAAACACCCTTTCCCCTTCACTCATACCCAATAAAAACCTGTGTTGGCTTGACTCATCCTTCCAGCCAAAGGGGACTGGACCTCTTTCTCTCTCTCTCTCCAGGACCCATCAGTGTAGCTTCTGGTCTGGATCTTTCGATACAAGTTGCCTTCTGATAAGCAATACTGACTGCAGCACTTCCAAGCCCTTCTTGCCTGGGGGTTCAGAGGCCAAGCTCAAGACCTGCATTCAAATCAACTTACTTTATCAGAACAGACTGCCACTAGGGTACCACAATGTTCCATAACACTGATACAACAATTCACCTGGATCTACAGTTAACGGAGCAGTGTGCAGTTACGAAATCCTCCATAGCATCTACTCTGATAGTGTTCAGTAGGCAAGGATGAGCAAATGCTCTAATAAAAGGGACTTAACATTGCATATATAGAAAATGTTTATAGAGAAGATTCTGCTTCATGGGTAGGGCTTGACTATTAGCAATTTCAGCATTGTTTTTCTTCTGCCCTTGCAAGATTTATTAAATGAAAAATTTTAGTGGGGGGCCGATTCTTCAAACCCTTACACATGATCCCCCGCATCAGTAGGAGCCTTGTTGTATTTTAAAATATTAAAAGCAAACTAATTTTGTAGTATTGTGATTCCAGCATGATGTCTCATTGAGATAGTCCTATAGAATTGGGAAGCATAGTAAACTAGAGAGCTGTGTTCATTTCTTGACACTTTTGCTACTGTCTGGTGTTAGATCTCTGGGCTTCACATGTCATCTAAGGGAGTAACTTGGGAAACAGATTTGAAGAGGGGGAAAAAGGATGTGCTGTTCCACCTGAATGCTTTGGTGAAGTTAGTTAAATTCTAGCTCAGTTGATGTTCGTATGCATTGTTTGTGGCAGCACAACCTTTGTACAACTGGGGAAATAGGGGATGGGAGAAAATCAATGACCTAAAACTTTTGCCAGGGAATATTCCAGTTATACAAATCTGGAATTGCTTTCACATAGATGTTCTACCTGAAACATCATGCTGTACACATTGATCATGTTCATAATTTGAACTTTGTTTTATTAACAAAGAAGTAACCTGTGAATTCATTAAGATGCAAATTTTTAACACAAACAAAACATCCAACATAAATTTCATATAATAATAACAACTAGGTGGAATTTATGTAAAAGCTGAGACTTCTACTGAGGTTGCCTGTGCTGTCTCTGCAGATAGCAACAGGTGTGACAAGCAACCAGCCTATAAAACTGGTCCAGGTACCGCAGACCACCACCTATATTCCAACTACTCAACCCACAATTGTAAGTACAATATCATCATTTCAAGTCTGCAGTAGTACTGTTCCTGGCATTAAAATTGCTCAGTATTTCTGGGGGGTTGTCTCCATCTGCTGTTCTATCAAGATATGAATTCACTGGTATAGTCTCAACTTGCAGTGCAAAATGTCTTATTTTGCTGTGCAACATTCCACCCTTGTATTTCATCATTCATTATTACAAGGATTCAGAAATTGTCATTAAGTATAGCAAAGGCACTGAGGGCAGTCAGACTTCCATTTTACATTATTATGTTAGTTATTTGTCCATTTTGTGTATATACTTGACCACAATATCATTGTAAATATATAGAATTCATTTTAAATATCTTCTTTGTCTATGGTATCCTAGAGAGATTTAATTAATTCTGAGCTATGTTTGATATTCCTGTGACATCTCAGTAACTAAGAAAGAAAATATGCATTCATCAGTAGTGTATCTCCCACGCAGTCTTGCACATGAGTGTTACAAAATTATGAGAAACACCATTGGAATCAGACCCGTTTTTTTCCGTCAAAGACTTAACCAAGGACACTTGAATTCCCTAGTGTCAGTCACAAGAGATGGGACAGAAGTGAGTTCGAGTTTTGTATGTGATGCACCGTAATATCCCATTGTTTGAACTGGTCGTGTTCTGCACTGAGCTTACGCTCTTCTTGCCAAAAAGAAATGCCGATACTGCACTGGTGGCTGAACGGCTCTGTCTCAGTGGTGGGTTCAACAGGGAAGCTCCTGTGTGGATAACTTCAGTTCATTTTCTGACGGAAGTTAGATAGTTAATAACGATGTACTAATTTAACAGTGTACCTTAATCACAGTGTGATTGTGAGGCCCAGTTTGCTGTAGAAGTTACTCTGTCTTTCTCCTTGTGCGCACACCCCCGTGTGCGTGCGTGCACAGCCAGCCGCTGGATACATGCCTCTGTGTGTGTACGTCTGTGGATGCACGCACATGCATGCATACATACAGCATTTCATAGCCATTATATTCCACACACGTTACTGCTTTTAGTGGGGATCACGACTTTTCACATTCCTAGCAGCACGTTAACTCATTTTGTCTCAACTGAGAACACTGTGCACCTTTGTGGCATTGGCCCTAAGTTGCTTGGACTGAATTACCATAACAGCAAGGTTTTCTGTGTGTTCTAATTTCAAACATCAAAGACATTAGGCTCTTTTGTGAATAGCTGAGAGGTTGTAAGATCATAAGGTGTTTTGTGTAATACTCAGAAAAAAGGAGTTTACCTTCGTTGGTTTTCTGTAATACAAAGTGCATTGAGTTATGTAAAGCATCATTGGAACGTCTGAAAGGTTTCAGCCTTTATTTGTGCATGTTTAAAACTTTGTACACATTTGCATTAGTCTTGCACAGCTACAGACACCTCTGTATGCTAATGACTGCACGTGCAATTTAAATAATTTTAAACCTTAGTGCATGTTTAATATGTATGCAAAATGTACATATGTGTAAAACTGGCAGAGGTGGAAAATTTACCTCTCAGGGAATGATCTTTTAACACATTTAAGGAGTCTCATACATTCCATATCCTGATCGCTGTAAGAACTGAAACTTAATTTTTTTCATTTGTGTAAGTGTGTATATTTAAAGGGCGATTGTGGCAACCTTCATTTCCCCACCTGTAGTGCTAACAGTGACTTAGATAATGGCTACTTTAGGGTTCAGCTTGCACTTTGTTTCCAGCTAGGGAGTTCTTCCTCTGAACAACTTCCAGTATATCTTCTGGGTACCTTTCCACTGAACCCTCTATATGCATCTGAAATCATTACAAAATGACAGTAACCTTGCATTTATTTACCAGATTGGTTCCATGTTTGATTTTTATTCTTTCTGCAGTTAAAATAATGTAAAAATATGAATTCATCATCTTTGCATTCCAGGGAATGGAATGAGTGGGCTTCTGGAAGGCACAGACTTTGTCACAAAGGAGCTGATAAACGCTCTAGGCTGTAATCCATCTCAGCAGGGATGCTCACAATCGTTGCTGAATACCATTAAGACACTAATGTGGTTTCTTAAAACGGTGTGGGGAAACACTGGGCTTCAGTGAAAATGTATTTCTTCTTCCATGTTCTCTTCAGAATATCACACTGCCATCAGGGGGAAGATCTGTGCATCCCTTTCAGATTCCTCAACATCTCCCTTCCTGTTTCTTCCACAAACTGTTATGAGCTGAAATGGATGCATTTGGCTGATCACCACTTGTGCGTCACGGGAATTGTACCAAAACATCCTTGCAGTTTGTATGGTATAGACATCTCTAGACTTTCTCCCGGTTTTGGCAGAAGGTTAAGATACACACGTAAGATTCAATAAATCCTCTTCCAGATCTTCCAGAGTGATGTGACCATGACCAGATTGTTGAACATTTTTGTGCCTTTGTCTCTGCATCTGTAGAATCAATTACCACCTATAGAGATGTCCTGAAACTTCATTTGTCAAGATTTATAAATCATGATCTGTATGATGGAAGTGAAAAGTTTATTCTATATTAATATTTTTACAGGGTGTATAAGACAGTTCCCAGTAATGCTGAATGTTTTTGTTACTGACTTGTGCAAAAGTTAACTTAAGTACTTTTTTGTTCAAATGGATGTTCTTTTTTCTCTTCTGTGTAGACTGAATGCATGGGGGAGTTCCGCTGGGGAAAAAGATTTAAGTAATGTGTAACATGAATATACTTATAAACAAGGGTATTTTTGTACTCCAGTTTGATTTGTCAAAACTTTTTCAAATGACAAAGGATTTTCTTAGCCCTTTTTCCTCTTCCCATGTATTAGTTTGGGGAAAATACATAACTGGATGTAGTAACTATGAAAACTGAATTCTCCAAGCACAGACAGAGTGTGTACAGTACCTGCAGGACCACCTGTCCCTGTAATTGTATAGTAATAATAATACAGAAACCCTCTTGGCTATAGGAAAGTAATGCGCTACTTTCTACGCTGGAATGAGGTAACACTGCGGTAATAAAGGTATTAATTCTTGCACAAAATTGGAACTTGTTCTGGATTTTCCCTGGAAAAGAAATCTCTATTTCTGTGGTCATGTTTATGTGACCTTTGACATAACAATATGTTTCTCTTGGTTTTAATCCACAGACCATTCCTGTAGTGGTAAGTCCTTCTGCTGGGACAGTGGCAATGAGAACTGGAGTTCAGTATGTTCAGACCACAATGCCAGTCCAAGTACGAAGAGTCTAACTGCTAACAAGAAGTCCATACAATTGTTGGAATAAATAAATCTAATAGAAATGTGAAAAATAAACACAGTTCTTTGGATTAACCTCAAAGGTTCAGACTTTAGCTTTGTGTATGTGTACAAAGCATTAACTACACTACATTAATGTAAAGCATTAGCGCTGGCTTAGAAAAGCTGAGGACAGGTAAGATCCATATTAAATCTATGCTTCTTTTGTAAATAATGTACAATTTGTGGATGTCATTAAAGTTAGAGTACCATCTCCTTTTTATATTTCTATTGACTTTAACTTATAAAGAGTGTTTGAAGTTGGAAAAGGAAGGTTTAAAACAGCTTTATCGCAAGCTAACACTGAAAGCTGGTCTTGGGAAATTGCAGTCATGCATCAAATAATATAATCATGATAATCTGGACAACTCAATTTGCATTTGGATTGGCAAAAATATCTGCACTTTGGAACATTTGTAGAATTTCTTTGAGCAACCAAATAATGAAGGGTATCTCTTTTCAGTTAATTGTATTAGGCAAATTATGACATTTCCAATCTGTGGACCTGAAATACAGAAAGATTTACATTGTTTTTCACAACGACCAGACTGTTTAAAATTTATATTGTTTACAGGTTACAATTAAGTTGAAACTTCCTTCAGTCCAATATCAGAAAAGTTGCAAAGTGTAATACCAGCTGGTTGAGACATGATTTCTGATCATTGATATCAAAGCTTGAGAAAAGTGAAGTTTTTTCCTATGCGTCACAGTTTGGTTTTCTTTTTTAAAAAATCCTCCAAAAAGGACTTTAAAAAGGTTTTTGAATGGAGCAAGAACTAAGTGTGGCGAAAAACATGGACTGGGAAACATGGGCAAAGGACTTCTGATGCTGGGCCAGAGCATGTATTATTTAAATGATGGAATTTATGTTTTTATGTAAGCATGAAACAGTACAGTATGAGAGAAAGTAACCCCTGAAAATGCTGTCTGTTACACTTATACTGTAGTACCATTTTGTATGTTGTGTAAAACAAAAGCATTGAACAAAGCAAAGGTGATGTATGTATATGAGAAAATTAATTGTATGATATCATTCCAGTACATTCTGTTGTACATTTTAGTCATGTTGATTTCTCCCATTGTTTATAAAAGAATGCGGTTTGTACAGTCTCCAGCTAGTACCCATATTAGAGGGAAAAAAGTATTAGAAGAAAAAAAGCGAGAACAGAATATTCGTGAATTGCAGTTGTGTCAAAAATAGCCTAGCTGGCCTTATTTGTGAAGCATAATTGCTTTTAGCATATGGAAGTATTTTTTCACATTTTCTTTGTATAAAATTTGTATTAAACTTAAATATCTTTTTTGACAATTGTGTTTCTTTGTGACTAAGACAGGTGACACACACAATATGCTTTGGGTTCCTCCAATTTTTCAAGAAACTTCACAATTTTTTTATTAAACTGTTTGAGAAAAAAAAGTTGTGTTCCTGGATTTCCAGTTTCGTTTCAGTCTGGATGGATGTTCATTTCTGCACAGTCTCCAGATCATAGATATTTTCACTTCAGTTGGGGTCTTCTGTCTCAGAAGTGTGGGACCTTTGAATCCAAGCCTGTCAAATTTGATAAAAAGAAAGCAGCGCTGGCAGTCTGTAAATATGAAGCCATTTCTGTATAAAACTCGGTAGCATCCATTTTCTCTCAGTTTTAACAGCAGCAAAGGTCCATTGCTTGTTGTGTAACATTTATGCGTTGGTTGGATTGGGGCTGGACAGATACGCGTAGTCTTGTTAGGTGTATTTGTGGGTTAGAAACGCGCACTTTCACGAGGAGTACAGTTGTAGCCCTCTAAGAGGGCATGGATTGGGCAATGCGGCTGCTGTGGGCTTCTTAATGGTCTGTAAGAAGAAACAGGGAGCTGACGAAATAGCTCACCATAAAATCTTACTGTGAATATTGTCTTCAAGTCGTTGTCTCCTGTAGTTACCTTGTTAGCATGCATTTGTAAAACAACTGAAGTTAATGTTCCCAGTGCTGCTGTTTAAAGAAAAGCACAAATCTTGAAAGCTTGAAATGGTTTGGCATTCCCCATGGAATTTGAATGCTTGTCCTTGTGTTAGGAGAAAAATGAGAGATGAACAAGTAAAAAATTGTTATAGGAAACCACACTGCTTTCTGAAGCCTGTTTCAGCTTGTTTTTTTCTTTTAATGGACATTGCTTTTTCCATAAAAGAGTTGTTTTCTTTCCTTATGAGAAGTAATACGTGACCAAATCCTAGTAAAGATTTATATAAGTATACAATAAGAATTTCCAACAAGAGATCAAAGTATCATCTTGGATGTTCTGGTGACTGTATTTTTTCTACATTTTAGCTAGTTACAGCGTGAAGTTCACTGTTTTTCTGAAGATTATTCTGTGTTAACTGAAGTGAAGAAAGAACACATCTCTGGCTTGGACGTTATGGGAGGAGATGACACTGATGTGGTATGAATTTAAGATAGGCTACAACTTTTTTTAATGTGTGATTAGATGCCATGACTAGGCATAAGCTGTGTCCGTCACTTGTGTCTAGAGTATCCCTCTACCCTGTGTAGCGTATCCCTTGTTTATTTTGGATCCAAGTATTTTGGGAAAAATTACTGTGCTGGGTCTGGAATTTTTACCTCTGATGGTGAAGTTTCATCCGTTGAGGTACCTGACTCAGTCCTGGACTGAAGACAGAGGCGGGATGGCTGTCCTTTGACCGTCTAGCTGCAACTGGTGATGCCAATGATCGGTGGTTGAGTTGATGGGGGCCAGGAGGTCATAAATTGTAAATGATGAAAGGCCTCTTTGGCCTTATACCATCCTGGGAAGACTTGGTTTCACCCTTCAGCTACAGGCACTGGATGACCCTCGGTTTGCCATCCTGTGTTATCACCTACTGAAAGACGTGGGCCTGTTACTGCTGATTCCTCTGGTTTTGAGGACAAAACTAACTTGTCTTGGAGACTGAGCTAAGAAATCCCTATATTGGATGGGGCCAAGCTATGTGCAGTGGTGCCCAGTGACAGGACAAGGGGCAATGGGCACAAACTGAAGCACAGGAAGTTCCGTCTGAACATGAGGAAGAACTTCTTCCCTCTGAGGGTGACGGAGCCCTGGAACAGGCTGCCCAGGGAGGTTGTGGAGTCTCCTTCTCTGGAGATATTCAAGACCCGCCTGGACAAAGTCCTGTGCAGCCTGCTGTAGGTGACCCTGCTTCGGCAGGGGGTTGGACTAGATTACCCACAGAGGTCACTATTCTGTGATTCTGTGATTATTATCTTCCATTATCACGTGGGCCTTCAGTTAGGAAAAAGGAGGGACAATGCCACTGGTGTTCCTCATCTGGGCTGGTCATCTCCAAGGCTTTACCGAGCGGTGGCAGTGTTTCCCTGGTTTTGGTGTTGCTTCAGGCGCGTAGGAGCTAGCACCGCATTCAGCGTGCTCGGAGGTTTTGGTTTAGCCCACCAAAATGGTGTGACCTGGATGGAGTTTACTATAGCAAGATTTCGTCTCGGCAGCCTGATGGTGGCACAGGGATGTGAGGAGCAGGCATGGACAGGAGGATTGGCGCCGCGCAGCCAGAAGAGCTGCAGCAGCCACAGCCTGGCTGGCAGCTCTCTCTGCAGGGAGGCCCCTGCATTCCAGCTGGAGCTTTCTGGGCTGGCTACGAATGCAGGGTTAAGAATTTGCCATCGGTTGTGCTGGCACCTGCGCGAGCTGGTGCTTGCTGGATTAGCTTTTCAGCACATACACCATAGGAATGTAAGTGGTTATCTTGCTGAGGAACCTGGAGCTGCCAGGACGAACATTGTCTGTCCGGAGCCATAGGCTCATCCATTTTCCATCTCCCTCAGAACAGATGTGTCAGTTCAGAGGGGGTGCTGTAGGTTCTGCTATCCGTGCCATCAAGGCTGATCTATAGCTCATTGAATGCTGCGGTTTTGTCCTTTGCACAGAGGTAGGACCATGGGACAAAAGTCCTTCGGAATGGTTACCACTTCTTTGTGAATCGTAGTGGCTGGTTTTTAAGGCAATTGTACAGCTGCACCTTCATTGAAGGCATTTCAGAAACAATGAGATGTCCATTTTTCTGCCCTTTTAAAAAATAATTTTTACACAGAATACACTCTTCAGTACTTATGCAGTGCCCACCGCACTCTGCTCTGCTTTCTGTATCTGTGCAGTTGTGTATCTTGCAGGCAAAAGGCTAAGGGCTGAGAGTGGGGATTTGTTAGGGCGGCTCTGACTCACGGACCTCACTACGCAGGGCTTAGCTCGGCAGCTGCCCAGGAGGGCCGAGGCCTTTGGTGGCCAGCCATGGAGCCCAGGCAGGAGAACGGCCAGACGAAATCAGTACAGGATGCGGGTAAATCGAGCAATTGCAGTGTTCTTCCATCCCCAACAATGGCGTGTATTTTTGCAACTATTTTTTTCACAATTTTCTGGTTATTTGACAAAATGCTGTATTCTGACATGAACTATTCAAAGCTGGACAAGGGCAAAGAGTGATTTTTGTCAAAGCCATTTTCAGAAATGGTTTGGCTCCAGGTTCTGGTTTACCAGATTGACTGGAGGTTTGAAGACGGACACCCAAGCAGATGTTCTCTTTTGGTGTGTGTCATCTCAATGGGTGTTTTTGTTGTTAAGTGCTATATTGACTTTGTGTTGCACTCCACAACCTACCCGAAGTGGCAGCTGAGAGCAGATGGGTGGCGAGACCTTAAGGATTAATGTGGGGGAAGTTTGTTTCAGTCCTTCACCTGAAGAGGATATGGGGAAGCACAGGTGTGTGGTGTGGATCAGTCCCTGCAAAACTCAGTCAGGCTTCTGCAAAAGGAGTGCGTTATCTGGGTGCAGAGTGGCAAGTCACGCCGAATAGGCTCAAAGGATGTGTGTACGTATGAATACTGCACATCAGGTAAGGCACACCGAGCTAGGAAATGTACCTGCGCTTCAACAGGCAGAGCTGAAATCTGACGTGCTGAGCAAA